AATAGAAGCGGCAACACCGCATTGTCGAAAATATTTTAGTTGGCTAGAGAATGTCCGAATATGCCCTCCATTAAATTTTCAAAGTGATCCGTTGTCTGGTTCACCAGAAACGTCTAATGTGCCATCCACCGTGTATCAGCCTGTATAGAACATGCAATTTATTCACCTAGGAATATATTCATTTGGAAATCCATGTAATTATGTATGGATTCATTTCACATATAATCACTCTGACACAAAATGATTAATTGAATGGATTAACAAAAAACATTCATTTCAATGAGATCGAAATGAAATGTGAAATTTCATAGTGATTTTGACATAGCAAATTGAATATTATTGGATATCGAGGAGTTTGATACAATTACCAAATGATATAAAAATGTAATAAATGGAATTATTCAATGAATTCTGTTCATTATTCTCATTCCAATAGCTTTTTCATCAAGTGACAAGCGCAAGCTTGTGCAATAAAGGCTGGGAAATTATTATTTCATTCATTAGAACAAATTGTAATCGTGAGAGTAACCAGGTTCAATTCAATGCCATAAAAATCCAGGCATCGGTTTCCTTCATATTGACGTAAATATATATGTTTGAAATATGTTTTTCTATTTACCAGCTGTCGCACCCCTACGACATATTTATTGTATGGTAATGAAATAGCAGTGAGCTAAAAACCGATTTCCCAAAATCTGATTTTGTACAAAATTTGTGTAGAATTTTCACCTTGCTCACCTCGTACTCTGAAATAGTTCTTCGAACCACTCGCTTATATTAAAAATGAATCATAATCCCGAAGGAGTCCTGTAATTTTTTTGTTTTGTTTCAGATAGCACCAGAGAGCGGATACATGGAAGAAAGACCTGAAAGGAAAGTGATTAAAATTCCGCGTAACCCGATTATCTCGAATTAAACTACCTCGTTCCACGCTAATAATCCAGCGATTCAGGTCGTTTAATCTCAATTAAAACTCGACGTTACGCTAACTGTCTCCTGATTAATCTAGAATAAACCGAATAAAAATGCCCTGAACGCGATGACGAACTTCAAATTCCTCTCCGGTAATTTCCCTGATTAACTGTCGAGTGTCAAAAACGATGGCGGAAAACACCACTATCAACGCCACCTTGGAATGGGCAACTCCAGCCTCCAACCTCACACCTAGTTACATCAACATCACCGAAGAAATGCCCATCGGCTACGCAGTGCCCTTGTATGGTTACGTCATGCCCTTCTTGTTTGTCATAACGATCGTTGCCAATACTCTCATTGTCGTGGTGTTGAGCAAGAGGCATATGAGGACCCCGACGAATGTGGTGCTGATGGCCATGGCCCTCTGTGATATGTTCACGCTGCTGGTGCCGGCTCCGTGGCTGATATACATGTACACTTTTGGCAACCATTACAAGCCTCTGGGACCAGGCAGGTTGTGTTATACCTGGAACGTAATGCATGAGGTGAGTAAAGAAGTTCACTCCTTCTTCGTGACCAAATCGAAAACATGTAAGATCGATGACATCTCCCCTCACGAAGAAAGGGAAAGATAGAGGAGGAATCTCGTCATCGATCGATGTCGAAGCTTGGTTTTGCAACTGATCGTCTTGGAAAGCCTCTTGAATATCCGATGATTGAGTTATGTGTGGATCCCGCAGATAGCGTCTTCGTAAAGAGAGATGTCATTGATCAACACATGGGCTAAAAAGTCTCGGGCCTAAGAAAGAAAATGTGTTTTTTTGTTCAAAGTTGCCTTTATTCATCAACATTATCTTCATCAACAGCCACACAACCATTCCAGCGCCGTACTAATATGTTTACACCACTTTTGTAGAACGATTCATTTTTTGCCTCGAAATAGGCCTTAGTTTCAGCAATGACCTCTTCATTCGAGTGGAATTTTTAACCGGTGGGCATTTTTTTGGGGTCTGTGAATAGATAAAACAAAGATACATTTACAGGGTGTTCCTTAAACACATGCTAATATTCAAGGAGGTAATTCTTAGACCCATTTTAAGAAAAAAACTTCCTATGGACGTATGTCCTAAACGCCTTAACTTTTGACATACAGGGTGGCAAAGTTTTCAAAAATAATCAGTTTTTTAATAATAACTGAGATAATTTTGTAGACATCTTTGGCATATTTGGTACATATGTTCCATGCCTCAAGGCGCATTTTCTGATGTACACAAATTTGTATTTTTTCAAACAGTGGCATCCCTACGGGTTTCGCATTGAATATT